CTCAGTATAATAGCTGTAGTTGATAGGATCATTACTTGAATGTATGGCAGTTAACCTGCTTCTCTAGATGACGCAGAATCAACACTAAGCGGTACTGACCCAGTGTCATGTGTTTTATTTTTTGTAAATTGAAAAAAGAGAATCATGTCTTACTAACTCCTTAAGATACTACATTTTCAAAAGTGATGGCTAGTGCTTGTACAGTTAAAAATATAATTTCTGGCTGGGTATGGTGGCGCACGCCTTTAATCCCAGCACTTGGGAGGCAGGGGCTACAGGGAGACCCTGTCTCAAAAAGACAAGAAAAAAAAAATTTCTGGGGCTGGAGAGATGTCTCAGTGGTTAAGAACACTGGTTGTTCTTGTGGAAGATCCAGATTCGAATCCCAGCACCCACATGGCAGCTAACAACTGTTCGTAACTCCAGTCCCAGGGGATCCGACCGCCACTTCTGTTCTCCGTGGGCATTACATGACATGGGTGCACTTACCTACATGCAGGCAATACACACATACACAAAAAATTAAAAAAAAAAAAACAAAACTTTTGTGTGTGTGTTTTTGAGACAGGGTCTCCCTGTAGCCCCAGCTCTCCTGGAACTCACTATGTATACCAGGCTGGCCTCGAACTCACAAAGATCCACCTGCCTCTGCCTCCCAAGTGCTGGGATTAAAGGTGTGCGCCACCACACCTGGCAATAATAAAATATATTTTTTTTAAACTAATTTCTTAAAATTTATGTGATGGACTGTAGAGATGTGTGCTAGCAATTTAGAGTTGATCTCATCAAGCACAGTACTAAATATACTGCTCCTAATTTTCTTGGGGCAAGCAGCAATGTCAGCTCTGGTTAAAATCATTGTATAAGGGCTGTAGATGTAGCTCAGTGGTAGACATGTGCTTAGCATACATGAAGCCCTGGGTTCAGTCCACAGCACTTGGAGGTAAAAGAAATCATTGTACGTGTGTCTACCTTCAGATTCTTCCTTTAGTAATTAGTGTTCTGTATAGAATTTTTCTTTTTAAAATTTAAAAATTTTTATTTTTGTTTTATATGTGTATTTTGCCTGCATGTATGTAAGTGCACCATGTGTGTACAGTGCCCTAGAGGCCAGAAAAGGGTGCTGGATCTCCTGAAACTGAACTTACAAATGGTTGTTAACCTCCATGTAAGTGCTGGGAATCGAACCCAGGTCCTCTGGAAGAACAGCAGATGGTCTTAACCACTGAACTTAGCCATCGCTCCAGTTCCTGAATTTTTCTGTCTTTAATGGAGTATTGGAATTCCTTTATAATGAATTATCTAATGAGCTAACATCTTTAGGTTTTCTGAAATGCAATTTTTACTTGGCCTTGAAAGCACTGGTTTAATTTTCTTACATTTATTTATTTGTGTGTGTGTGCGCGTGCGCGTGCTGGCGCTTGTGCATGTGGAGGTTAGAGGACAACAATTCCAGAGAGAGTTGGTTCTTCCTTTGTGTGGGTTCTGGGGTTCTAGGGTAAGGCTCCTTTTACCTGTTGAACCATCTCACCTGCCTCTGATTTGAATTTCTCTTTAATCGATTATTTGAATAGTTTTATCATTTACAAGTGTTAGACATAGTTTTGTTGAGACAAGGTCTCACTGTGTGGCTCATGCTGGACTTGAACTCATGGACAATCCTCCTGCCTTAGCCTTCTGAGGTCTTAGAGTACAGGTATGAGCCACCAGTGCCCAATTAGTGTTAGATTTTTAAAGACTTCTCAAGAATCTGTTGCAGGTGAGTTGAATGTAATTATAGGAAAGCAGGTATTGAGAACTGTCTTCCCTTTTTTTGAGGTAGGGTCTCAGGTAGCCCAGGCTGACTTCCAACTCCCTATGTCAAGTATGACCAGAATTGACCTTTCTGTCTTCATGACCTGAGTGATGGGATTACAGGCATGTACCTCCGCACCCTATTTATGTAAGTACTGGTGATCCAATACAGGGCTCGTGAGTGCTTGCAAACAAGCTCTCAACTGTACTGCATCCCTGGCTGCCATCTTGCGTTTTCTACTCCTGCTGTTCACTTGTGCTGGGGATGTCTTAAATCCTGAATGGCATCAAATTTATGTCCTTTTGCTACATGCTACCTTGACAGTGACAGTTTCTGAGTTTCTGTTGGTCAAAATGAAATGCAACCCTAGCCCTTGAGAGACTGAGGCAAGAGTATCACTGCAAGGTACAGGTTAGCATGGTATACAGAATGAGCTCCAGGCCAGCCAGGAGTAAGACTCTGATTCAAAAATGCAAGAGGGTCATGGAGATGGCTTAGCCCGTAAAGCATGATTGCCAGGACTGAGGTCCTGTGCTCTGTCCCTGGAAGGAATTCCACATGGTGGAAGGTGAGAACCAACTCTCCCAAATTGTCTTCTTACCGACATGCCCAAGCAGAGGCGTGTGAGGCACACACACATACACAAAATAAAAAAAAATTTTTTTAAATGTAAAAACGGGCTGGAGAGACGGCTCAGCGGTTAAGAGCACTGACTGGCTCTTGCAGAGGACCCGGGTTCAATTTCCAACACCCACATGGCAGCTAACAACCATCTGTAATTCCAGTTCCAGAGGATCCGACAGCCTCTGTCCTCCATGGGTATTGCATGACAGGGGTGCACTTACCTATATGCAGGCAATACACGCATACACATAAAAATAATAATAAACTATTTTTAAAAAAGTAAAAAGAGGGCTAGTGTGGTGGCCGCATGCTTTTCTTCTCAGCACTTGGGAGACACCCGCAGGGAGATCTCTGAGTTCCCGGCCAGCTCTCTGAGTTCCTGGCCAGCTAGGGCTACATAGATGCTAGCTCAAAAAAAAAAAAAAAAAAAAAAAAAAAAAAGGTATGAAGACCACATATAGCAGAGACCTAGAAACATCAACTAACATTTTTGCTGCTGTTGGGTACTGTTGGGATAGAGCAGAGTGGGGAGGAAGAACCTCAGAGGCATATTATTGGAAGCACTGTAAATGCAAAGCTAAAACAGAACGGAGGGTGATAGCTTGTGGATATTGATAGGGAGCTGCTGTTCCATAAGCCTCATACTGACTTTAAAGTTTTTAGGCTGGACGTGGTTGGTGCATGCCTTTAATCCCAGCACTCAGGATGGCAGAGGCAGGTAGATCTCTGTGAGTTTGAGGCCAGCCTGGTCTACATAATGAGTTTCAGGCCAGCTGGGGCTACAGGGATACCCTGTCTCAAAAAAACAAAACAAAAAATTTAGATATGGTTTAATTTGTTAAAAATAACTACAGAAAGTATAATGAAGGAAATTTAAGGATACTCGGGCTAACCTTTGTGTTTTTAGTATTTATGTATTTGCTAGAACTCTTGGTTTCCTTTCTTCTATGAGAGCCAGCACTCAACAGCATATCTGAGGGGTGACCTGAGAGAATGAAGAGTGGTTTGGTTTACTAGTTCCCTCAGAATGCTTGGCCTTCAGGGTTTCCTGAAGGACTTTTTACTGGGTGATTTCTTTTTTCCTTGATAATACTCATCCTGTCCAATCTGAATATTCCCAGCTGATTTGCTGCTTAGTTCATTTGCAGCTATGCTTGATTAATGCCCCACATGTTAACTTTAGAACAAAAGAATGATAATCACTTGTGCCCCTCAAATGAGCTGCTAGGTGGTAATTATCCAAGAAAGGTGTCACTATAAATAATCTGTCACCATTCTGCCAGTGTCCTTGTTTTCTACTTTTGTTAACTTGTATGAAACTGTGACTGCAAATAAGAATGGGGGCCTTATTTTCCCAGAGGTATGCAGAGGTTAAGGTTATGTCCAGTGTTCATGTCCTGGGCAGAGTCTTCTCTACTGTAGTGATTACACTGACTGCTCCCAGTTACTGTCACTTGAGACACTATGGAATGGTTCTGGCAGAATCTTCCACATGCAGAATGCAGATTACCTCAGTTCACTGCTCTTCTGAAAAGAAGCTGTGCCAAGGGTAACTGTGAGCAAGCACCAGCCCCTGCAGTTACCTGTCCAGAGAACGTACTCAAGACCGACCGAGATGGCACATACTTTGTAGTCTTAGCACTCTAGAGGCAGAAGCAGGAGGATCACCTCAAATTTGAGGCCAGCCACCCTGGTGTATATAGGGAGTTCCAGGCCAGCCTCAACAACAGTTTAGTGTGAAATCCTGTTGCGGAAAAACCAAAGACGGAAAAAAAAATTACTTGACAGCTCTGTTCTTTATACTCTTTAGAAATAATGTTGAGGATATTTCTGGAATGTTAAGCCTTGGTCACCTATTTCAAGGACTAAGCAGACCCCAAAGGCTTGGGTATCTTGCACAAGAGCAGAGCTCTATGAGTAAAGTGCTGAGCGGTCTTTTCTCTGGTGGCCAGATCATGGTTTGGAAGCGAAAGCCACTGGTGTCTATGGTGTTAACAGAAAACAGAGTTAAAAAGTGATTCCAAGATCCACTTTCTCTCTATTTCTCAGGAGCAGATCAAGGTTTAGTTTCCAGTAAAGAGTAAAGCAGCTCAAGACCCGAGTGTGCATGGCTTGCTTTTGAGTGTGAAATAGGGGAGCCTCAGATCTCAGCAAGCTAGCGAGGTAGTGAGGGACAAGGGAAGGGGATAGACCTGGTTAACTGAGTCCAGTGCCACCTCCAGAATGCGCCTTTAAGTGGACTGCCTTGGGTGCTGGAGAAGAGGTGTGAGGGTGCTGGAGGAAAGGTGGAGACTGACTGTACTCCCTAGCCGGTTCCTGAGCAACACCCAGCGGGAAGGAAGAGGAAGTATATTCTGAAAAGCTCAAGCTGCAACCGCCATTGGCCGCTGGGCCTGTCAGTCGCCTGGGGGCTGAGGCTGAAAAGAGGAAGAAGGAGAACAGAGCTGTTGCCTGGAAGGGAGGAGGAGGGCTGAGTTCAGCGGAGCCAGGGGGCGTGGGGGCTGGGAGTGCAGGCCGATTGGCAGGGCGGGGCTGCCTTCGATCCTGGCCACTTCTCTTAATCATCGATCTTCTGATTCAGGGTGGCATTGTGTGTCCCAGTGTGCAGCTTAGTCCCAGAAGAGAGGAGAGGCTGAACCCAGAGCTCTTCAGCAGGGAAGATTCCCTTCCCCCCCGCTTCAGGCTGCTGAGCACTGAGCTACGCTCAGAATGGAAGCCATCGCCAAATATGACTTCAAAGCTACTGCTGACGATGAGCTGAGCTTCAAAAGGGGGGACATCCTTAAGGTAAGTGGTGATGCTGTCACAGTTCTTGAGCTCGGCTTCCTTCCTCTGTTTACCCTGATACTACACAAAGGAGTGTGCCTGTTCTTTTCTCATTGCACACTTACCATCTACCATTGGGTTTGATGGGCTGGCTTGTAGTAGATGCCGAGTGGAATATTAATTATGACTTTAGAGAGTTGGTATGATGTGTGGTTCTTAACTGCCTTTGTGTGAATGTTTGTGTTTTTCTATTTATTGGTACTGGTGGTATTTCAGGAAAAGGCAAAGTAATATTCTAGAAAAGGAGATATGAGTAGATTATCTTGTACAGTTTTTGTTTTGAGGCAGGGTCTCCCTCTAACCCCAGCTGGCCTGGAACTTGCTTTGTAGATCAGGCTGGCCTAACAGAGATCTGTCTGCTTCTGCTTCTTGAATGCTGGGATTAAAGGCATAAAGTTGTATTGGGGAGGGGACGAACCAGGATTTTTTTTAAAAACCTGAACATGTATGTAAAAGCATTCCATTAGTCTCACTATACATAGCCAAAAAATTCTGCATTCTATAGTAAGATCATAGTAGGTTAGAAACTTTTTTTCTAGTTTAGAGAGGTTAGAAGTATTTGCCAAAATTCATTAAAGAACTTCAATGCCTTTTTATTTCTGAAAAACAAAATAAGAGTTCTAAATAATAATGTTTAACTTGCCCTTATAAAGTTAGATTTCTATTTTCTTCAGAGAAACTTGAGGTATAGTTACACAATTTAAAACCTAATTGCATTGAAAAACATCTGCTGACAGTTGAGCTGTGAACTGCTTCACAATTTGCAGCTTCTATTGAGCCCCACTATTTACATGAGCATTGCTTCCCTACCTGGAGCATGGTAATTATGTTGTTTACCCAATTGACTGAGCAGTTTGCCCTTTTGGATACGGGACTGGGTGTTGTCTGCCAGTGTGTGCACTTTAAGTGAGGAAAAGCTGAAGATGAGTATTTGAGTGTTGCCTGTGTCTTTGGTTTTGCTGTTCTTTCCTCTGAGCCTTCATTCAGATTGTTGGAATTTGCCAGCCATTTGTTTACTACCCCTGAATGAAATTCTGTAAAGACCTGTGAATTTTTTTTTAAGTTATCTGAAACTATCAATAGTTACTGTTATGTCCTTAGTGCTCAAAACAATGGAGTTTTACTCTGAAGTCACCTGCAGTCATTCCTCAGTGTTAGGAATATAGGTTGAACTTCATAGAGGTTGATACTGAAGAGACATTAAGGGAAGAAACCTTTGTTGTGACAGAAAGTGGATACAACCGCCACCAGCTTTAGAAGCACACATCTTCTGTTTCTGGTTTCATAGAGCTCTAGAACTCAGCAGAGGTAACTCTGACAACTAATTGACTTTGTGCCATTGTTATACAGAGATACTGGCTTTGTGTGTGATTACTGTCTTTGTAGATAATGTACTTACAAGACTGGTTACTCAAGCACGCACATCTATAACATGGATACCAACCTTTAGAACCAGATTGCTTTGGTTTTGGTCTTTTTCCTTTTTTTTGAGACAGGGTCTCTATATCCTGGGATTGCCCAGAACTGCCCATGTAGCCCAAGATTATAGGTGTGCTCCACCATGCCTGACACTGGTTTTTTGTGTTTTGCTTTTAATGCATAGACTTACTTCTCTATTAAACTTATTCCTGGACCTGGAAGGCTGATAGTTCATATTCTTCTCATCAAGTCTATCCCACTGAATATTTAGCACTATATCAACAAATTAAAACCAGGGGTAAAGTTGCCTAGGCCTAGACCATAAATACTTGATAAGTTCACACTTATTTTTAAGATGAGGGAGAACATGAATTAGAATGTGCACATTTACTTTCAGGTTTTCTTTGGGGAGAGAGAAATATACACACTTGATAGCAGTTTCGTAGATAACTGGGATATGAAGTCATAATGTCATCATTGCTTTTACAGTAGCCATTAGCTGCTTGTTAGTAATCTTGTCGCTTTACTCCAAAAAATGAGAGGGAGGGAGGGAGGGAGGGAGGGAGGGATGGATGGATGTGTGTGTTGATATAGTAGTTGCCCTTTGTCTCATAGCTCTGTGAAACAGCTTAGTGAAGAGGACGGACCATGTTCTGTGCTAAGAGCTGTTAATAATACAAAGTTTTCCTCCTTTCTGCAAGGAGTAAACCAGCTTCATTCAACTGGCTTTGATATCATTTGTAACTCTGAGCCTAAGCCTATTTAAAAGCGGCTGGAATAGCATTGAACACTTTAACTTCAATCGAAATGGGAAGATATCTGGCCTCTTTTTCTAATTTTTCTGTTTCTTTGCTTGCTTGCTTTGTTTTGAGGCACTATGTTACCCAGGCTGGTTTTGAATTCATCTGCCTTTGTTACTTGTACTTTTATATAAGCTTGTATTTTTGTTTTATATAAGCTTGTATTTTTCTTGGAGAGAGTTTTCTTGGGTACAAGGGCTTAAAAATGAAAGGACTTGCATGCTTGAGTTTCTTGCATGCTTAAGTTCCCCATCATTGTACCACAGGCTTGAAATAGTCCTGGAGGTTCTCTGCTGACGCGGTCCTTGAGACCGAGACCGGGACTGCAGCTCAGTGGTAGAGTCCTTAACCAAGCATTTGCGAGAGACCCTCTTTATTCTACCCTTGGTCATACGAACCTGTCATGTTGGGATGTGTGTGTACATATTTCAAATAATGCTGTATAGGAATTCAAAGGCCATTTTAAGCTTGCAAACCTCTCTTATTTCCATTATAGGGTTGTTTGCTTGCTTTCAGTTCTAGAAGGGAACCAGCTCTCCCATCTCATCTAGGTGTCTTCTGGCTGGCACTCACTACCTTTTAACATTTTCCTGAACTACTTGAGAAGTAGGTCTTGGATTTGCTTTCTGCTCTTTGCAGCACTCTCCTGTCTTGGTGCTTTGTGGCCTATTTCAGTGTCACATTTACCAGGCATGTTCTTGAACCAGATCCTGGATTCCATTGCTTTTGTGTTGGTGAAGAAATGTAAGAAACACTTCAACAGCCCTAAAGTAAAAAAGGAAAGTTAATGTGCAAGGCAAAATACTAACTTACATACAGTATTTTTAGAATGGGAAAAGACTATTTAAAAACTTAAGCTGCGCGTGGTGGCACACACCTCTAATCTCCGCACTTGGGAGGCAGAGGCAGGTTTGAGTCCACCCCCTGATCTACATAGTAAGTTCTAGGCCAGCTGGGGCTATAGGGAGACCGGAGACCCTGAATCAAAAAGAACAAACAAACAAACAAACAAAATCCTTTAGCTTAGAATTCTTTTAATTTAAAAAAATTTATTATTTTTTATGTGTATGAGTGTAGTGCCTGTATGTATATAAGTGCACCCATGTTGTGCAGTGCCCATGGAGGTCAGAAGAGGGCGTTGGATCCCCTGGAACTGGAGTTACAGATGGTTGTTAGCCACCATGTGGGTGTTGGGTCTGCTGCAAGAGCAGCCAATGCTCTTAACCAGTGAGCCATCTCTTCAGCCCTTAAATTTCTTTACAGTTGTTTGTAGGGAGATGGGCACATATGCCATGATATAAGTATGGAGGTCAGAGGTGGAAGCCAGTTCACTCCTTCCACTAACTATGTGGTTTCTTTTCTGAGAATTGAAGTCAGGTTAGCAAGTTTGGTGTGGTTCAGACTTCTGTTTTTTTTTTTTTTTTTTTTTTTTTTTTTTTTTTTTTTTTTTTTTGTCTTTTTGAAGCAGGATCTCCCTGTAGCCTCAGCTGTCCTGGAACTCACTAGGTAGACCAGGCTGGCCTTGAACTCACAAAGATCCACCTGCCTCTGCCTCCCAAGTGCTGGGACTACAGGCATGTGCCACCACGCCTGGCTTTTTAAAATTTTTTTTAAGACAGGGTCTTAATATGTAACCTAGCCTGGAACTCAGTATATAGGCCAGGCTGGCCTTGGACTCACAGAGATCTGCCTGCCTCTTCCAAGATCTTGGATTAGAGGCATGCATCACCATGCCTGGCTCTAATTTAGGCTTTTATTAGAGGAGGTGCAGAGTTCCCAGCCTGGAAAATTCTAGTCATCAAGGTGTAAGCTAGGTACCTGTATAGGTACTGGTTATTGTTAGTAATGAAAGAAGAGGGTGGTTTGTTTGAGAGATGCTGAAAGGAAGAATCAGGGGATTTTTTTTTTTTAAGTTATTTTTTTTTATTATTTTTATTTTTTATGTGTATGAGTGTATTGCTTACATGTATGTGAGTGCACCTGTGTCGTGCAATGCTGCGGAGGTCAGAAGACGGCTTTGGATTCCCCTGGAACTGGAGTTAAGGGCAGTTTGTAGCGCCATGTGGGTGCTGGGAATTGAACCCAGGTCCTCTGCAAGATCAGTCAGTGCTCTTAACCCCTGATCCATCTCTCCAGCCCCGGGTTTTCTTTTTTTTAATATATATATTTATTTTTATGTGTATGCGTGTATTGCCTGCATGTAAGTCTTGTGCAGTGCCTGTGGAGGACAGAAGAGCCTGTCGGATCCCCTGGAACTGGAGTTACAGACAGATGTTAGCTGCCATGTGGATGCTGGGATTTGAACCCAGCAGTGTCTAAGTCTCCAGTGTAGTGGAAGAAAGAGTGACCATTGGTGAGTGCCCAGCCCTGCTTTGGTTAGTTGGTTCATTTCAGCTGTAAGTCTTGGATTTTCAATGCCTGTGTCATTTCAGGTATTTGAATTATCAGCCTAATAATGAAGAGTAGGGCTGTTTTTTTTTCTTTTTAAAAATCTAGTATCGGTATACTTAGTGAAGCATTTATGATAACCTGTGGGAATTCTTGTTGGCTAAACTAGAACATGGTATTTAAGTTTTGCTTTTTTTTTTCTGTTAAAATTTTTTATTTCCTTTTTTGCATTTATTTTAATTTTAATTTTTTGCTTTTTTTGAGACAGGGTCTCCCTATAGCCCCAGCTGGCCTGGAACTATTGTAGACCAGGCTGGCCTCAAACTCACAGAGATCTGCCTGCCTCTGCCTCCC